AAACAGACCTCCAACCAGTTAGGAACAGATGGGGGGAGGGGCTGCGAGTGGTCGCACCCTCCCCCGTCCGGTCGACACGCGGTCCGCAGGCGGAGGCGGCGGAAAGGAGATCCGGGCGCCGGGTGCTCGTCTCGAGCTCCCCAGCGACCGGAAAAAAAACACACACAGGACCGCAGAAGATGAACTCTGCGGTCCCAGAGCTCGGGGATCGAAGGAGGCAGATGCAGTCAGCCTCCTGAAGCCCCCGAGTGGCGCACACAGACACCGCCCGACATAAGGACAAAGGCGGAACAAAAAAATATAACGAGCATACACAAAGTTGGGAGACCGACAAGGGAACAAGGCCAAGGGGATAGAGGGGACAGGAGGACCCCAAAAACCCCCCAGAAATGCAAACTAAATATGTATATAACAGTGATAGCCTGAAGTTTCAAGTAAAAATAAAGTCCCACAGGGCCTTTAACAAAACTGCATGTGTAAGAAAAATTTACACATGGCCAAGGTAATACTGCATATACAATGAATCCCACAAGCCCTAAATAAAAAATTCTGAAAAGATATTCAATATATAAGCATAAAAATCCCACAAGGGAAAATAAAATAATGAATATGAAGAAATAAATCCCACAAGGAACATAACTATATTGTATTATAAAAATAAAATCCTCAAAGATAACAAAACTGCATTATAAAAATAAAATCCCACAAGGATTCTAACAATACTGCATATAGAAATAAAATCTCCAATGGATTATAACAATACTGCGTTATAAAAATAAAATCCCACATGGATTATCACAATACTACATATAAAAATAAAATCCTACATGGATTATAACAATACAGCATACAAGAATAAATTCATACAAGGATTATAACAATACTGCATTTATAAGGCTAAAATACTGAATATAAGCAATAAAATCCCAAAGCCACCCGCTATAAGCAGGAGGCAGTGGTACTCTGACCTGTACTGACTGCAGAGCAGCAAAGAAAGAGGAAATGTATGGGGAGGGGAGTTTTATAGTAACTAACTTTTTTTTCTGATTGGTTGTTTCTCTGCTGCTGTGGAGTTCTCGTAAAGAGAGACTTAAACAAATACAAAGCCTCCTGTCATTAATAAAATTACATTTTGGTTTTGCAAAATTCAGGTTAAAAGGACATGTTGTAGTCACAGACAGGATATTTTAGCCTCAATTTGCGCTTTGATTCACTATTTGTGTGTGTTTAGTAAATGAACCACAAAAACGATGGGACACACATGGGATAAGCTGGTTTATTACAAACAATGTAGTGGGAATAATTCGAGCAATGCATTATCCTGAAATCCAGCTCCTACAGCTTGTGATGCAACTGAACTAGCAACTCTTGGCCTGTGGACAAGATGAGAAGAACTGAATCAGTGTTGGCATTACAGCAAGAGACCTTTCATATCTTGCAATAGCTCAAAGTAGCACCTGTGATTACCGTTATTGAGTTTCACACCTTGTTGCCACCATTTTGGCATACTAAGCTGTGTGGCCGGGTTAACGCATATTGAACTGAAACTTGATTCGTAAAATCCATTATCCAGCTTGTCTTCTTCGGTGCCAATAGCGGCAATCACACTGAAAGAAATAGAAACAAGTGTAAGAGGCTGGAAATAGACTGATGTTTATATAATATCATTGATACTATATCTATCCATATCCTATACCAATAGTAATAACCTATCTCCATATACTAGCATCCAAACCTACTATCAACAAATCTTTGTCTATTACCTCAAACATCCCATACATATCCTCTAGATAAACTATGCAGGTTACAATTAAGCAATAGAAATGGTGACATATGAGAGAACCAGAGTGTGGGAGGGAAGGGAGGGAAAATACTCGCCTCCTGTCATTATTAAAATTAAGATTATAGGTACACTACGTTAGCATAATCTACAATTTTATTACATGACAGGAGGCTTCCTATTTTGCATTTTTAAAGCTGAGGTAATAGCGAGAAAGATGCATGTGTGTTCTGACGAAAATAAAATAAACGGAAGGTATCCTCCCGTGTCCAGTCTGCGGAACGTAGGATATCTGCTAAAGACGCTCCCGCCGAGAACGCTCTTGAGGCAGCCGCGCCCCTGACCGATTGAGCCCCAAAACACGTCTCCACTCCTGCTAGGGACAGGATCCAACGAACCCATCGAGCTAGAGTAGTAGTAGTAACTGGTTTGTAAGGTTTGGTGTAAGACACCAACAGCTGCCCTCTGCTAAAAGCTCGAATGCTTGCAGTAACCTCCAAATATCGCGTAAATGCGGAAACCACACATAAACGAGGGACCGTAGGGAAGAATGGATAAGATATAGATGTTGAATTAGTTTTGGTTCTACGAGACACCGTGAAGGTAACCTCTTCTGGTGAGATCGAGAACCCATCCACATTGAACGCTCGCATGTCCGAAACCCTTCGAAAGGATACCAAACATAAAAGTAACGTAAGCTTGGCCGACAACTGTCGTAGTGACAAATCTTTATTGTCTGGCCAATTCCGAAGGAAGTTAAGGACCACCTCTACGTCCCACATGTGATTACACTTAGGTTCCGGCGGTCTGGACAATTTGATGCCTCGCATTAGGCGACATACCAAAGGGTCCTGACCAACCGGAGAGCCATGTACTGTTACGTGTGCTGCTGAAATTGCGGAACGCGTCACATTGATGGAACGATAGGATTTTCCCTCCGTGAAGAGGTGCGACAAAAAATTTACCACCATGGTGATAGGTGCTGTAAAGGGATCACAATTCCGTCCCAGACACCAGCGTTTCCATGAATTCCACGCTGATAGGTAACTCCGTCGGGTGCCCGGATCCCATAAGACTTTAGCTGGTTGCAATAGTCCCTCTAAGGACCAGGCTCCCCTGAAAGACTCCAGGCTACCAGCTCCAGATTCTCCTGTACCACTAGTGGATGTGGTTCCCCTTTCGGATCTGTCAGAAGGAAGGGAACCTATATAAAACACAATGTTAGAAAGGAAAAGCTGATAAAAATGCTCAAATCACCAAGTGTGAGTCACTCCAAATCACACAAAGAACCATACAATACAATAATAATATAGTGAGAGCAAACTCTATACACCAGATAAAATGGATATAAAAACAGGCAATATTACCATATGGCTGCAATGTCCTAAAAATAGAAAATAGGGAACATAGTATAGCCTGTATAGAATATACAAAAAATAATACAATGTAAAATTGTCCACTCACGTGGTACTGAGCCGTTCAGTGGCTCAGACTATAGGCGCCTTGTAAAAATATGGAGACCACAATGCTGGAAAGGCAAATCTCTGTAGGAATTCCCTTTTGTGACTAAATGGAAAGTCGAGTCAGGAAATACAGGATCAAATTTTATTCGCCAACAATCGCATATAAAATGGAATCTCTCAAATTATTGCACTAACGCGTTTCAACCTAAACGGTCTTTATCAAAGCACTTGATAAAGACCGTTTAGGTTGAAACGCGTTAGTGCAATAATTTGAGAGATTCCATTTTATATGCGATTGTTGGCGAATAAAATTTGTTCCTGTATTTCCTGACTCGACTTTCATTGGTACTGCTTCTGAAATTTGCATTTATTCTCCATATTTTTACAGGCTTATAGTCTCACTACGGCTCAGTCCGTGAGTGTTAATTGACATTCTATGCACTATGTTCCCTATTTTCTATTTTTAGGACATTGCAGCCATATGGTAATATTGCCTGTTTTTATATCCATTTTATCTGGTGTATAGAGTTTGCTCTCACTATATTATTATTGTATTAGAAGGAAGGGAACCGATGGAAGAAGTAATGGATGGTCCCGCGTGAGAGCCAATAATTCCGGAAACCATGCTTGACTCTTCCACAACAGTGTGATGAGAATCATCGAGATCTTGGTTGATCTGATGCGATGGAGTACTCTTGCTATCATTGAAAAAGGTGGGAATGCGTACGCTCCCCTCGGAGGCCACTGTTGTAGAAAGGCGTCTACTGCCTCGCATTGAGGGTCCGGAATCTAGCTGAAATATCTTGGTAACTGTGTGTTCGTCCGAGAGGCAAACAGATCCACGACCAACGGGCCCCTGAGGTCCCTCACCATTGAAAATACTGAAGTGTCCAGTCTCCAGTCGCTGCCGTCTCGCCAGTGACGAGAAAACCAATCCGCCGTGAGGTTGTTGGCTCCTGGTAGATATTCCGCTTTGATCGTAATGTTGCGGGGAATACAGAATTGATAGATGTCCTTCGTCGCCTCCGTCAGGATCCTTGATCGGGCTCCCCCTAGTCGATTTATGTATTGGACTGCGGAAATGTTGTCCATGCGTAGAAGGATGCAACAGTTCGCCATGTGCTTGGCTAGACTGCGAATCGCAAACGATCCCGCAAACAGTTCCAGGCAGTTGATGTGGAGACTCTGTTCCTCTTGAGACCATGGACCTCCTGTGGATGCGTGGGTGCAGTGGGCTCCCCAGCCCCAAAGGCTCGCGTCCAACTCCAATACAAAGTCCGGGTTCGACCCGAAAATGGCTCTGCCGTTCCAGGCTTCCATGTGCAGTAGCCACCACCGAAGTTCCGTCCGAGCCTCCGTGGAGACAGGAATCTAGTGATCGTATGTGTGTCCGGTTTGTAAATATTGGGCTTTCAGTCTCTGCATTGCCCAGTAGTGGAGCGGGCCTGGGAAAATCGCTTGTATTGATGAGGAGAGTAATCCTACTATCCTCGCTAATAGTCGGAGAGGTATGGTGTCTCTCCTGAGTATCCGTCGGATCTCCTTCCGAATGGTCGCTATCTTGGATACGGGGAGATGTAGCACGCAAGAGTTGGAATCTATCTCGAACCCGAGGAACTGGACTACTCGTGATGGAGCCAATGATGACTTCTCTCTGTTCACTATAAACCCCAATGATTCCAGAGTGTGTATGGTAAATCTCGTCTGAGATTGAATTCTGGACTTGGAGTCGCCAAAGATCAACAAATCATCCAGATACACGAGGCAGCGTATTCCTCTTCCTCTCAGATGGGCCATTACTGGTTTGAGAAGTTTCGTAAAACACCATGGAGCCGAACTGAAGCCAAATGGTAGACATGTGAATTGACAAGGGCGACCCCTCCAGATGAAACGCAGGAAGACTTGGCTTTCTCGAGCCATGGGAACCGACAGGTAGGCGTCTTTTAGGTCCAAGCGTGTGAACCAGTCGCGTTCGTTCATCAGATCCCTCAGAAGGTGAATACCTTCCATTTTGAAATGGCGGTAAGCCACAAATCCGTTCAGTTCTCGTAAGTTGATGACTGGGCGGTAGTCTCCCGTCTTTTTCTTGACAACAAACATGTTGCTGAAGTAACCCTGGTCGTCTGGGGCGAGTTCCACCGCTCCCTTTACGAACAGGGTTCGTATCTCCGTGTCTATGAGGCATCTCTGACTCTCTCTTAGCCCGGATAGGTGATGGTCGCCTGATCTGAACTGGCGTACGGGTAAATTCTATCACGTACCCTCGCACGGTCTGTAGGATCCATGCGTCTGTTGAGATTCGTTCCCATTCCTGCGGAAAAAGGGACAGTCTGCCAGCAGTTATATTTGAAGGACATAACGGAAGTTAGTTCATGCTCACATGAGTTGTAACGTCCCCGTCCTCTGTTCCGAGTGCCCCTTGTACGCAAAGGATCCCCTTGTGAAGTTGGCTCTTGCAGACGGGAAGAACTGCTGCGTAGCGTATGGACGACTGGGGCCGGATGGCCAGAAACGGCTGGTGGCCCGACCCCTCTGCCGACCAGCCCTGCCAAAAACACCTCGAGTTATCTGTAGGTTCCGAAAGACTTGTCTAATAGACGATTGTGCCTTATTCAGTGTAGTGAATTGGCCTACGTGCTTTTTCAGTTCTGCCATGAATGGTTCTCCAAAGAGCAGTCCATCCGCCAGGGGGCCTAGCTCTTTCTTCCCCAGGTCCAACAGTTTGGAGTCTATCTTCAATAAAGCCGCTTTACGGCGTTCTGCGCACATGGTGGCATTGGAATTCCCTAGTAGGCAGATCGCTCGCTGTGCCCATTCTCTAATGTCGTGTGCCTCGAGGGTCGTCCCCTGGGTGAGGGCCACATCTGCGAAGTATAGGATCTTCGCTAAAGGACCTAGCATGTCCAGCATTTTGTCCTGGACCGGTTTCATGCCCTTCTCAACACCTTTCCGTGGGTCTTTGTCCGAGCGGGACATAAACACCCTCCACTGTGGCATCAAACTCTGGGGTGAGGGCTATCTTGTCCGGGACGTGGACACTCCGCTTTGAGCTTGGCCCAAACCTCCTTGTCCATTGGCTTCCTCAGCCAAAAATGTACAAATTGAGTCAGATGGTCGATCTGGGGTGGATCAAACAAGGGGTTACCCGTCCCGTCCAGAAACACCCCATCTTCATATACCTCCGTATGCACTTTACGTGTACTTTTGCCGCCTGAGCGGTGTGCCCGTTCGGGGCCTTGGTCGCATTCTCCGACCTCCTGAGGCATGTCCTGCCAGTCCTCCTCCTCCGAGGGGGAATCCTCTGCCCTCCATTCGTCCATGATTTCTAATGAAGGTGGAGAGAATGGCTCCTCATCCCCTGAGGAAGGGGGCTGTGGAGGGGAGCGTTCCGGGCGGCTAGACTGGCGGCTCCGCTTCCGCAACACCTTCCTCTCCCATCTCTGCAGGGTCGTGTTGGATCCCTTCCATTGTCGTTTGCACGGCCCAGCCTCCGTCTTGGACTCTGTGGGATCTTTATCCTCTTTTCTTGCCGGAGGCGCGGCGTCTGCCCCCTCCGGCTGTGGTTGCGCCATCATTTTGGCCAACGCCTTTTCCACCGAAGCCGACACTGCGGCATTGATCATGGCCTGGAAATCCATGGGCGATGATGGAGGAGCGTCTGACATGGTGATAGTTCGTTCTTCCCGTCTGTGGGTAGATATGGTATACGTCAGTGCGTTTGTAGCTACACAGTGGCTTCCACGTACAACTGGGGGTCACCCAGGTACCATATAATCAGTACCACTAGGAGTTTGAGTAGTGGTCTGTAGAGGGGGTCACCCTCTCATCGACCGGGGTGCACGGTCGTTAAGGTCAGGACGAAGCCCGGTGATGGGAGGTGTCAAAGACCTCAGTACGCTTTTTTTTTTTTTGCATGAAATTTGTGGAAGTTACACCACTGTGGGATCTTTTACCAATAGGCAGTGAATTGCGTGGATCACCCCAGTAGTACCACGGAGGTGCCACATACAATAAAGCGTTCTTGCTATAAGCCCTTGAGTGGGCGTGAAGAACACCCCTGTGTAAATTTAAATTTTTTCTTTCTCCTCACTAGTAGCAGTGTCAGATTTCTATGTATCCTGTCTTCAGTGTATGCACCCCTGTGGGTCAACCACCAGTGCCCTCAGTGAGAGCTAGCCATTAAGTATAGCAGCCTGAGCAGTCCATTATTCCTTTATGCTTTATTTTCAGTTTATGTGCCTGCAGTAACTCCCTTGTAGCCAGGGAGTAAGGGGTTAACTTTTGGACTTCAGTGTTAAAACAGTATGGAAAACCTTGGGGAAATCAGTTACAAGCTCTATGCCAGTTCGTGGGAATCACGAACTGGCAACCTAAGATGGCCACCAAGGATCTCGCGATACCACGAGATCCAAGATGGCCACGGTTCCCGCGCAATTTTCGTCGCGCGGCCCGACGGTCCTGGCCGGCACTACCCGGGTGCCCCAGTTACCCCCCCAGCCCTAGGAGCCCCTGGAAAGACCCCGCGATCGCGGTAAAATGCCATGAATCGCGAGGGACCAAACAGACCAGAGGCAAAGGAAAGTGCAGTCCCAATGACAGGGTAAACCCCACAAGAGAAGCAAACAAAAAAAGGCTGAGGGAGCAGGCAGAAAACTAAGTGTATTTAAAGGGGAACAGACAGTAAAGGAGGGAGTAAGCTAGCATCAATTAAAAGAGACAGTAAAATTGCACATATAATAAACAAATAGTGAGAGCAGAATACTCTGACCTGTGCCTTGGCTGGAAGCAGCAAAGAAAGAGAAAGTCATGTGACAATCAGAGCTTTATATACGGTTATGTACGCTTATGATTGGTTAAAAGTTTATTGATTGACTTGTGCTGCTGGAGGCATGAGTAAAGAAAGTCATGCAAAATAGGAAGCCTCCTGTCATGTAATAAAATTCTAGTCGTTTCATAGCGGTTATAGGGAGATGTGATACCCTCATGTACAGGTTTTAGGAAAGTTAGATGGTCAACTACAGGGCTTGCCCATTTCAGTTTGCCTGGCCTATGTTGCCTTTGAGACTGAATGGCAGTCCAGGAATGAGAATTACCCCCATCATGCCAAACCATTTGCAAAAGTAGACAACCCAAGGTATTCAAAATAAGGTATGAACAGTCTTTATTAGTAGCAACTTTGTCACAAACCCTGGCCAAAGTTAGGATTCACATTTGTTTTTGCATTTATCCCTCAAAAACCTGCCCTTTCACCGATAACCGTATTTTATTTTCAGCTCATATTTGTGTTAAACAATATCTCACGATCACACAGGTACCCCCACGTATAGGTTTTATAAAGTTGCAAGGTTAATTATAGGGATTGCAAATTAAATCCTCTGGATTTTCTGCCTGGCTTGTCAGACAGAACCTCCCAATATATAATAAAAGTCAGTGTAAAAATACATAGGATGAAAAATATTTTTTTCCCGTGTACATTTGTGTATATTCATTATTTACGTTGGGAGATGTGGTCACTCTGCAGGCAGTCAATTGGAGTCACGTTATGGCCTGTCATTACAATCACGACTGATCGGTATGATTGGCAGCAAGGGGGGGGGAGAAAGGAAGTGTACGCTTGTCAGGCTGTCCCCCTGATTGCACCGGGTGAGGAGGGCAAGCATACTGGCTGCAGGGAGGGCAGCGCACCCAAAAGGTAGAAAAGGCAAATATCAGATCCTGGTACACATGCCATCCAAAACAAACTTAAACAAATCACTACAGTTTTATTGCTGTGAAGCTCCATTATATATTACAAAAAATATGCATTTTTATTACACAACACAAAAAGGCATTACATTTTCCTGTGTTACAAATTTGCGTTTCATTGAGGGTTTGATTGCTTTTGCACAATTTATCACAGCACGTGAATTGCAGTACTGTTAGTGTTTCTTGTCTGGCTTATCCATTTTCAACTCTATGCAGGCCTGCAATTATTAAAGTGATACATTCCATTTTGATATGGGATCTATAAATACCAGTTTATTATAACATGTTCATCCCTTAAAGGGAAACTAATAACCAAAACAACTTTAGTTTAAGTATTTTTGGTGTATAGAGCAGTGTTTCCCAACCCAGTCCTCAAGGCACACCTACCAGTCCAGGATTTAGGGATTACCCAGTTGTGTCTAAGGTGTTTTTACAAAGAAGAAAAAAAACCTTAGACACAACTGGGTAATCCCTAAATCCTGGACTGGTAGGTGTGCCTTGAGGACTGGGTTGGGAAACACTGGTATAGAGCATGTCCCTGTAGACTTATTGCACACTTCTCTGCCATTTTAGATTTAAATCACTTGTTTATAAAGCCCTAGGACCACCTCCCTAAGTGTAATGTGTACAGCCTTCCTAAATACTTCCTGTAAATTGAGATCTAATATTAACATTTCATTTACACAGTCTTATCTGTTGCACTGTTAATAATTTGCTAGAACTTGTGTATGAATAACTTTTAATTTACAGAGCAATAGAAAGACTTCTCAAGTAAGTTAACATTGGATTGAAAATAAAAACATTTCCCCCAGTCACCGCCAGGGTAGGTGTGGCCAAGGGCTGAATGGCCAGAAACAAAAGGGATTTAACTCTTGGCAGAGAATTAAGCTGTGATACTTCAATGGCATGATCTATACACAAAACCTGCCGTAAGCTAAAGTTGGTTTGGAGACTAGTATTCCTTGAGTTTTTGGAGCATTCATTATTAAAGTACAGATATCAACTTCCTCTGACAATGTGACATAGAATAGACCAGATAAACACACAAATGAGCTTTAAAGGGACACCAGGAGAGAGAAAACCAAAAAAAACACGCCAATTTGCCAGCTGTATAAATGTGGACTTGATCCTTCCAATTTATTAACGTCAATTTCATTTAACCTGGTTGACGTGGATTGGCTGAGAATGCTAGAGTGACTAAGCCAAGTGACCAGGGCCACACAATCAAGTAGGGTGAAATGAACAATGTTAACATTCTTAATTTGGAATAAGGGGG